ACAAGGTACCTGCTATTACAAGGCATGAAGTACGTACAAGCAGTACCCCAGAATCATCAAAATAAGTACAATATTACAATTAATTATACATTTTCATTATCTCTGACGCAGGAAAATTCTTGGAAGCGGTGGAACAGTTGTAGCAAATAGAGAAGGCATGCAGTACGTACAAGCAGTACTCCAGAATAATCAAAATAGGTACAATATGACATTTAATTATATATTTTCATTATCTCTGATGCAAGAAAATTCTTGGAAGCGGTGGAGCAGCTGCAGCAAACAGGACTGGAACATGGTGATCCCAGTTTCAAATAAAAACTCCTTCTTCAGCCTGTGAGGTTAACAAGGGCCCACATTAGGTACAAGTCGAGGCACCTGTATTATATTTGTTTTGATGATTCTCAAGCACTGCTTATATGTACTACATGCCTTGTCTGTTTGCTACAGATGTTCCACCACTTCCAAGAGCTTTCTTGCATTGGAGATAATGAAAATATATCATTAGTTGTAATATTGTACTTATTTTTATGATTCTGGAGTACCACTTGTATGTACTACAAGCATATTTTTGAAAGCTGCATAGGGCCTTGGCAACCTTTGCTAACGTACACTCAAGTTCTGTTTTATTTAGTTAGTTAGTACACACACACACCCCCCATTGATTTTTAAAAAAAACCCTTAAGGCACAAAAATAATAAAACAGTATGACTACCACAAAAAACACTATTAAAAACATTCGAAAAATTAAAGTCAGTTATAACCTTAAAACAGATTAAAACACACACATAATTGTCTTTTTTTTTTAAAAAAAATTATTTGCAGGTGCTGAAAAAGTATACAGTGAAGGCACCTGCCTGATGTCATAATCAGAGGGTTCCCAAGTACAGGAGCTGCCACACAAAAAGAATTATTTCTTACGAATTCTTAACAAATATTATGTGGCACCTGTAGCAGCACTGGTTCCACAGATCAAAGTGGTCAAGCAGGCATATTGGGGTGAGGTGATGTCACAGGTAAGCCAGTTACAAGTTGCTCAAGGCAACATCTCAAACCTGGCCCGAAAAGAAATTGGCAACCACTGCAGGTTTCTGAGCACGTGTGTTCTATGCTGACAAGGTCTCACTCCTGTCAATAGCCATTCTGCAACATTCTTCACTATCTGCAGCTTCTGGATCAAGCACGAGGGAAGCCCCATATAGAACACGTTCCACTAATGCATTAACTACTATGGCTAAGATTTTCTGGGGCCAGGAAATGTCATGGCTGTTGTATCAGCTGCAGTTGGTAAAAGACACTTCTAGCCGGCGAGGCTACCTGGACCTCCAGTGGCAAAGGTGGATTGAGAAAAATCCACAAACTAGAAACCTATTCCTACAGGGTGAGTGCAACGCCATCCAAGATAGACAATTTACCAATTTATTGGACACAAGAACTACTCACCCACAGTGCCTCCATCTTGCCAGGATTTAAACTCATCTGTCTCACCACAGCATCCAAGCTCTGGCCCAGGAACTTCACAACCTCAGCTGAGACTTATTGGCATACTAATGGCACCTTGCCCCCAAACTCTTCACAGCTTAATATAGAAGAGGGATGGGGTAGGGGTTCAACCACAGTGATTCAGGGTAGGGGGAGGTAGAGTGTGGGAGGTGGGGCAGGCCAGGTAAGGGGCACACAGTGTTGGTGTAATTTTGGAATACATGCAAAATTGCACCAACTGCTTGGGCTGTGCCTCAAGTTGCCCACCTTCCCACATTCCCATTCCCTGGAACAAGTCTGGGGGGGGATATCATGGTCAATGGTATCAAAAGCCAAAAAGAGCTCAGTAAGCAGAAGCAAGGCCACACTCCCACTGTCTCATTCTCTGTAAAGGTCATCCATCAGGGCAACCAAGGCCAACTCAGTCCCATGGCCAGTCCTGAATCTAGACTGGAATAGAGCTAAAATAATATGTATCATCCAAGAATGCTTGCAGCTGCCTCACTGCAACCCGCTCTGATCATGACAAGGGAATGCACTGTAGTGTCCCTTGGGTCACATACTACCACAATGATGTGCCCTGCCTGGTTTGTTGAACCAATGACCAGTTGAGGGAAATCCATGGTTACCATGGAAGCCCTGAAATCTCAAGCCAGCCCAGCGGCAGCATCTGCAAGGATACTGAAGTCAACATTACCCCAGAGAGTATCTCAGCCAGCCCTATCAGGGATGCTGGTAGTCTCTCTGGTCTAACACCAGGTGTAGACATTCTAAGCCTGTTCCAACATAAAGAGGTTTTCTGGCCAAGAAGATAATGCTTTTATGAACAGTAGCAGAACCCTCCCCCACCCCAGTCTAGACTGGTGATGTACCAAGGACTCAGATGGGTGCAGCTGGTTAAGCTAAGGCCTACTCAGCTCATTCTCCCAAGTCTTGCTAACGTAAGGCAAATCAGCCCATTCATCCACAATCAAAGCTGGCTTTCCACTGCAGCACTACCAAACCAGAAGGCTCAGCAGATATGCTACCAGTACCTTCTAGAGCATTGTTAAAGAAAACAGTAACAAAATGCCAACTGTTGTTTGTTGTTGTTGTTTAGTCGTTTAGTCGTGTCCGACTCTTCGTGACCCCATGGACCAGAGCACGCCAGGCACTCCTGTCTTCCACTGCCTCCCGAAGTTTGGTCAGACTCATGTTTGTGGCTTCGAGAACACTGTCCAACCAAAATGCCAACTAGGGATTGGCAAATCTGCCAACTTCATTTTCTCATGTGTCCTATCGTAAGTTCAGTTCACCCCATGTCTGCATTAGGTTGCATTCATTCATATATATATATATATATATATATATATATATATATATATAAACAATAACATATACTTCAATAGCATATGAGAACAAAGACATAAAGAAAAACAATGAAGAAAAACAATGAAAATGAATGAAAATGAAGCATGCATACAGACAAAATATAAATTTGGGTCATACGATTCAGAAGCCCAGGAAATAATTAGCACCGTTTGTAGTGTTGGGAGTAGGTAGTAACATGTTTTATTTATAAATATTGCCCTCAAGATCTTATGGTATTCTCATTTAAAGCTTTAAAGATACAGTACTAAGAATTTCAGATAGCAGCATATTTCACAGGAGGCATTTGAACATTATTACCATCACTATTATATAAAATCTTCTTTTTTTGCCATGTAGTTGAAAATGAATCTTTTTGTTTGTTTGTCCTCTAGTATACCTTAATTCTTGAGTGAATTTTTCAGCAACAGCTGCTGGATTAGATTTGATTATGCCATAAATTATTTTTCTTTTCTTTTTTAAGAGCATACATAAAAATTCTGTTATTTCTTCGGCAGATTTCTTCTAATATACATATTTCTGTATGGTATTCTGCCTAATTATACACTGCTTTGCAAGCAAGTCCCTTCCTCCAAAATAACACATTTCTGTATGTTCTTTACTGTAGCATATATGGTACTTTCCCCCCAATATACACATTTTTTGCTTGGATAACTGCATCCCCAAATTCTGCAGATTTAGTAGGATAGTAGTGTTTCAGTTAACACTTTGTTCTGGAAAGTGTGAATTAATTGATTTGCATTGAAATGAAATGTGAATTGAATGCATTTCTCCCCCATTTCCACCTGACAGTTTTACTTATAAGGGGAAGAAAATAGTGTTTAAGTAATGATAGGGAAACCAAGAGTTCGTGTTTTAATATTACATCTCTATTTAGAGATCTGTGTACTGCACCTCTTAACCTTGAATTCCTCTTCTACAAAGTAGAGGAACACTTATTGCTACATTTGTTTATTATGGAACATCTGCACCTGGAAAACTTAGGCAGCTGCTAAGTGTGCATTGTTGCTGATGTCTGCTCGGACTTGACTGACCAACCCACCTGCTTCTCTCATCTCTATTCTTATCTACCAGCAGGCTGTTGTGAGCCTCCAGCCATTTATTTCCCTTCCTCCATGGTCCAATGTTCCACACGAGAGCACTGGGAGGTGTAGAAAATGGCATGTGCCTTGCAATCGCCCACTGCAGATAGTGCTGCTGCTGCTTCCCACCACTGTCAGTAAGCACTCCACAGCAGAGGCAGCTTTAGGGCAGCATTACTGGTTCAGCCATACTGGGTGCTAAGGCTAGGGGGCACCACATGGTGTTGCAACTATGATGTAGTGAATTGAGCAAAACGGAAGGCGAGAGGCGGGAGAGACCAATTTTGGCCTGCACAGGGAGCTGCTGAAACCTGAAAGACCCAAGTCCTCCCTGTCCACAGAATCTTTTTTGATGTCAGGAGGCCTACCAGACATCAGGGTTCCATCAGACAGCACTTTGTGGGAAGGCGAAGGAGGGTTCAATCATGGAGCCAGTCTTGAGCCTTATCACTCATGAGGGATTCAGTTGGAGCTGTGAAGTTAATTTTTGCTAATTATTCTGGGTCACAGAACTGAAAAGCAGCACCCACTGGCCTCCTCCATTAGCCAGAAGACCACGGAACATATGGGCTTAGTTTCTTTGTGCAATGGAATATCCATTTGGCCTGTTCCAGTTGGCTCCCTCGGGCAGGCCAAGACACGTGCATTTCAATGCGCATTTGGCGCAGGTGGTAACTGAGTGCCAATATTAGTCCAAGAAGCTAAGACGAGTACAGCTATGCACTGTAACTTAACAACCGTATTTAGCTCATGCATAGTTTTAACATTTAAAAAGAACCCACTGTTTTTCTTTCAAATTAAAAAAAAAAACTTGCTCATTAGACTGCAGAAACATTCATTATAAATGCATGGTTAAGTCCTGACTTGCAGCTTTGCAAGTGCATCTCGTGTATTTTTGATACAAGTGTATGTTGACAAACTGCATATATTATATAAATTAATCATACTCCTGCCAACTCATCATAAGGATGCTATTTCTTCTCATGAGAAGTGTGTCCTTAAAGTTAGTTTTTGAGAGTTACGCTTATTTATTTGTTGTTGGTTGCTGGTTTTTTTATTTTATTTTTATTTAAAAAATCAGATTATGGTAGAATTTAACACTCTTGACAGGTTGTAAAAAATACTTTTCAAAGTTTAGCGAGTATTTCCCCTGTGTGTGTTTTTCCAAACTAGGGAAAGCTTAACCCTTAGAAACTGTGTATGAAATGTGTAAGGTAGGAATCAAGAAGGAATCAATTTTTAAATACTTTCTACACAGAATTTTGTGACTTTGACCAGCTGAGTTTTGCTCACATCAAGTGCCTTGTTATGTTAGAGTGACTCATTGATTGAATGATTGATTGATTGATTGATTGATTGTCCAAGTGATGGTGTGTAAAATTACAAGCAAGAAATACATATATAACATGTATAATGCATATGAAAGCCAAAGCCCATGAGGCATATTTCTGTAGCACAGTTTTCTATTCATACAAATATTTTATACAGGCATACGCATTGCTACCTGTATCCCTTCTTGTGTTGGTTGCTTTGGGACAGGAGTCTTCAAATCCTGCAGACCAAGACTCACCTTTAACCCAGACATGTATTTGGGCACGTATTTCTCATTAATATTGCTATTATTTTTACCATCTATGTATGGTGGCAGTACTTCTCTTGAGGCCCTCCTTAGATCAGGCCATGATGGGACTCAACTCACTAGCTGAAGACCAACATTTATATACTGATACTCATGGGAATGTTATCAGTATCATTATTGATTTATACCCTACCCTTCTATGAACAACTACAATCAAGGCAAGTGCAGATGCAGACTAGGAAAGATCCACAGTCATAAAATCTGGCCTCCAGGGAATGCATTGTCTACTGCTGCTGCTTCTGCAGAAGCAACAACAGTTGTAACACACTCCTTGGAGGCTGGATCTGCTGCCCCCACCCTCCAAATAATGCCTCTACAGTGGCCTCCTGGCAAATAGAAGGTGATGTTGGTCTGCTCCTACCCCTAGGGAGGAAATAGTGGTTGGTGCCCTCTGGAGTCTCTTAGGCTATGCACCAACCTGGCATGATTCAGAGTGGAGCCCTTCCCTCCCACAATGACCTTTGATTCCCACTTCAACCAGTGGGTAAGGTTGATTTTACGCCCCCCAAACGTGTTCCTGATGTAGGTCTTCATTCACCCCCTTGTTGCCTTGCCAGGGGATATACCATTTTGTGGTTCACTTCAGATGCCAAAATGTCTTGGGCTGGCCCTAAATGTTTATAATGATTTTTGCCATGAGCCCTCTGCAAGCAGGGATGGGAGGAGAGTGCTGAGTTGAATGCTGGGGAGCGGGCAGGTACAGTGGTACCTCCAGTTGCAGATGGGATCCGTTCTGGAGCTCCCAAGGTTTCTGGAACCAGAGGGACAGCTTCTGAGCATGCACGCATGGCAAAACCCAGAAAAATACTTCTGAGTTTGCCACGTTCTCATCCTGATTGATACGCAACTGGAGGTGTGCATATCCAGAGATACCACTATACTACTAAGATCACTGAGACTGATGTTGGGGAGGGGCTGAGTAGTTCCCTAGGAAACATTCTCCCCCTCTGCCTATGCAAGATGTCCTGGCAGGAAAGTCACCTGAATCAGCTCCCACCCCATCTTTTACTAGCATGATCTTTCAGCCTGCATCAGATAAACAGCCTAAGCAGACCCCACGTCCACTTTCAGGCATGGATGGTACAGGTGCAAGCAGACCCAACCTACATGCTTGCTTTCCTAGCCCTGTCACTCATGAAATGCATGAATGACTGCCCCACTCTTCTAAATGAGGGGAAAATGTGGCATATCAGGTATTTGCTTATGTCCAGCCATGTAACTTTAGAGCTCTAGTTTGACTCCTTAACTGTGTAACCTGTAACCCGATCTATGCTTAAGCCATGTAGTGATTTTTTTTGAGTAGTGCCTTTGGGAATAATTGAGCTGAGAGTCAAAGTTCTGTGTTTACCAGTAGAAAGCAGAACATATAGAATACACAGAACACTGTATATATTTGAGATTGTACATAAATTTGAGAATTGGGATGGGGGAGGGGAATAACTTCCTTCGCCCTGAGATCAAAGGACAAGATTGGCATTTGAAAAGAGATCCATGCAGATCAGCTTCTTCATGAGAAGAAGGTACTCCAACAGTCAGTTAAAATCAAATTCAACTGCCCTTGTAAGGGACACTAGTTAATTGAAAGGGGGATGGGTGAGCTGCCACACTGAAGCAAAGAAGCCAATTTTGGGTGGCACCATCCTTTTATAGGGTGACGCAAGGTCTCTGCTGACCGGCCAGCATCAGCCACCACACATCTTACCTCCCATCCCCGGGAAGTCTGATAAGATTTTTCTGCTTACTATATGTGGTAAGGCAAATATGTTCCTGTAAAAAATTCTGTCAAAGCCATATGCTATAAAGGCAAAAATTAGTGATCTCTGGGGTTGTATCTACACAGATGTTGTAATGAGATAAAACCAGAGTATTAGAGAGCTGGAATGGACAAGTGCCAGACTGCAGGTGAGGAGTAGCTAATTCTGTGATTAATTCTGTCGTCCAATTTTTTCCAGTTTCCTCCCTTGTGAAAGTGACTTCCCAGCCTCCTCAGGGTGCATTAGAATTGCCTTTGATTTGATAATGAAACATTTTTTTCTGCCCTCTGCAGCCTCCCTGGCTGCCTGTGCTTCCTGATCCCAAAAAAGGCCCATGTAGAGGTTTACTTCATGACATCTTACCTTAAGTTTTAATTGAAGCAGGGGCAAGTGAAGAGGCTGGCTACCAAGCAGCTGAGGATGGCATGCTTGCTGGTTTTGTTGTTAAGGGGCATCATTCCTTTTACCTTTTTCAAAAATACATTTACTCACTGATTTCTTTAACAGCATAAATACTTCACTTCAAAAAGCAAGAATGAAAACTGCATTTTTCCGTGTATAAGATGCCCCCATGTATAAGACGACCCCTATTTTTTTGAGCCCAACATTAAGAAATAAATATTTTAAACACCAAACAGAACTTCGATATTTTATTAAATATTCAAAACACTGGTATATTTAGTACCATATATTTAAAGATCAAACAGGGAGGCAAGCTGTGTAATGGCGGCTGCTCCTATCAGCTCAGTGTAACTCCACTATAGCTGCAGTTCCAGCTGTCCTGCCTGTGTGTTGCACTTTTGTCTCAGTATTTACGGTATGTACCGTACTTACACCACGAGCGCAGGCAGATGTGAACACTGATCAGGGAGTTGCGACGGCCAGAGCGAGTGCGCTTGGGGAATGGGGGGGGGAGTCTGGGTAGCCAGGGGGCGGCTGAGGGAACTAGGTGGAAGGGACAATGTCCGGAGTGGGGGCTGCTGGGTGGGTGGGGAGTACCTGACCAGGGTTTGTCGTGAGGCCAATAGTGAGGGGAGGCTGGGGGGAAAGTATGTGAATGGCAGCATGCATTTATTTATATATTTAATTGCAACATTCCGTGTCTAAGACGACCCCCAATTTTAAACTTAAAAAATTTGGGGGGAAATATCGTTTTATACACAGAAAAATACGGTAGCACAAGAGGCAGCCTCCCCACAAGGAAGGTACCGATGGGCCTTGCAATCATATCTGAGTATATTTAAAGTCTCTCTGTGAACAGGAACTCTTACTTACCACGAGGAGGCGGCTTTTAAGCACATGCAAATAATTGTGTTTACAAGGTCCCTTCAAACATTGTAGGAAGGTTGGATAGGAAGCAGATGTGCCCACTGTGTGCAAGGAGACGCCTACTCTTTCTCCCCAGTTTAAGCACTCACATGTTCTTCTGAATACTTGATTAAGATATTGTATGGTTCATATGTGCGAGTGTGTTTATTTTCATCAAGAGCTCACCAAATTGCTGTTTATCTGCTAACTACAGTGTTATCCATAGGGATTCCTTGGTGTGATTGCTGCACACAACTCAGCACAGCTGAAATGAATTTAAGTGGTCCCTGGATATCACTGGATATTAGCATTCTGAAGCCAGGGTTCCTGTTGTCACATAATAAGAGGCGGAAAATGTCATAAAATCAATACTTTCTAATGACAGAAGCAAAATGTCAAAGATTATCCTATTTGCATCACACTTTTTAAACAGTAAGTTCAGAAAGCCTTGGAGGGATTAGGGAGGAATGTTCTGTGTGCTTTGCTGCTCTCTTAAAAGTATTGCTTTTATTGTGTACAATCAAACTACTTGTGTGGTCCAGCTGTTTGGAATGGGCCCACACAACTTGTCATCTACAAAGTTAAATGCAGCCCACGTATGGATCACAGCAAGCCAGATATAGGAAGGAAATCTGGTTTAGGTCACATTTTCGCATGAAACAACCTATCTAGAACACCCCCAGAATAATTCATGAACAGAAACAGGCCTATCTTTTGAAATTTGCACTTCTCTTAATTTTGCAATGCAGTTCGCCAAAAAAGAACCCTCGAAAAGAGTGTGTGTGTGTGTGTAGAATCAATATTATTAGAGAAAATGTATCTACAAATGCATAACTTTGGAGTGGGGGTATACATGAAATGCAAGGATTCCCCCTCTCCTTCTGCTTCCGAAACAAAGCTCAGAGCAAATTAAAGAAAATGCAAATATCAAAAGGTCTCATTACTCTCCGAGAAGAAAAGCTTTGGTTCTTATTAAAAGCAACTCTCTTTCTTTTGACCCATAGAAAACTTCTGATAAATTCTTGTATGTTCTTAAAATTAGACCCCATGTAGCATTGGAGAAAGGACATCCAACAGTGCGGGAAATTGGCTTCAGGGATACTGCTAATTGTGAATGTACTTTCCCCCCATAGTGTGAACTACATCAATATTTTTACACCTCCTGGAGGCACCCTACTGTACTAGTTCGGAGTAGAAGAAAGTTTTGATTGACCGTTTTCTTTTTAACCTCTCTCAAAATAAATATAATACTGGAGCATGTAACATTGTCCAAAAATAGTTGCAATAACGTTGTTAGCTGTTAATACCAGGCTGATTCCCCGCCTCCATTATTGATAATTTATGGACACATACATGATATGTTCATGTTAGAGAATAGAAGTAGCATCTCAGTGGTGGATGAATTGAGCACAAAGATGGGCTCTAATATATCCTTTTTCAGGGCTGGCTTGTGGAAAGGAATTTGAAGTGAATTGGGATGCAGAAGCCTTTGAGCAAGATACAATAAAGACCAAAGGCCAAAGCAAATAACATACCAGAACACTGGGAAACAATGGGGAAATTTTCACCTGAAGATGTGAAGTTAAATCCATGAATGAGAAGGGCATCCATATAAGACCTACCTCCAATAGTCCAGTGCATCAGTCTCAGATTTTCCCTGGGTGTTAGGTTTGTAGGGAGCTTGGTCTTATATTCACTTGAATGTAAATATAACTTTCTGTGTAATTGGGGATCTCAATAATGGCAAAGTAAATGCCAGCATAAGCCCTCTGCAGAAAATGGGGTCTTAGTGGTGAGGACAGTGGGAACTGCATGGAACTTAAGCCTTCATTTGCACTCACCTACATGTATGATTGCAGGGTGATCTCATTTTTCTTATACATATGATTTTGAACATGTGATGCTGAACTTATGACATATAAGTCATAACAGCTTGCAACAGCTTGCTAAAGCTGTGCAACATGGTCTGTTACAGGATTACCATGAAAGGATGCGAATGAAATCATGTGGAAAATCTGAATCATATTTATTCTCTCACTTTTTAATGAGATGGAATTGCTATTCGCTATGGTGCTACTTATAATAAAATTGGTGGATGGGATGTGCATTTTGGTTGTTTAAGCTATACCCTGAATTTGGAAATTTTGACTTTTATTTTATTTGTTATTATAGGGATGCAGGGATTGTTTTACATTGTTTTTATATAGTAAGTTTTGCACAATACTTATAAAGTTTTCTATAATATTAATATTAATGATAATGATGAAGATAATAATAATAATTTATTTCTACCCTGCCCACTCTGGACAGCTTCCAATAAAAGATTAAAAATACATTAAAACATCAGTCATTAAAAACTTTCCTAAACAGGGGTGCCTTCAGATGTCTTCTAAATGTCAGATAATTGTTTATATCTTTGACATCTAATGGGAGGGTATTTCACAGGGCAGATGCCACTACCCTCTACCTGGTTCCCTGTAACTTTGCTTCTCACAGTGAGGGAACCACCAGAAGGACCTCAATGTCCGGGTTGAACGATGGGGATGGAGACACTCCTTCAGGTATACTGGGCTGAGGCCATTTAGGGCTTTAAAGGTCAGCACCAACACTTTGAATTATGCTCAGAAACGTACTGGGAGCCAATGTAGGTCTTTCAAGACTGGTGTTATGTGGTCTCAGGGGCCGCACCCAGTCACCAGTCTAGCTGCCGAATTCTGGATTAGTTGTAGTTTCCGGGTCACCTTCAAAGGTAGCCCTATGTAGAGCACATTGCAGTAGTCCAAGCGGGAGATAACTAGAGCATGCACCACTCTGGCAAGACAGTCCACGGGCAGGTAGTGTCTCAGCCTGCGTACCAGATGGAGCTGGTAGACAACTGCCCTAGACACAGAATTGACCTGTGCCTCCATGGACAGCTGTGAGTCCAAAATGACTCCCAGGTCCTTCAGGGGCACAGTTGCCCCATTCAGGACCAGGGAGTCCCCCACACCCACCTGTCCCCCCCCCAAGACAGTACTTCTGGCTTGTCAGGATTCAACCTCAATCAGTTAGCTGCCATCCATCCTCCAACCGCCTCCAGGCACTCACAAGAGACCTTCACTGCCTTCACTGATTCTGATTTGAAAGAGAGGTAGAGCTGGGTATCATCTGTATACTGATGAACACCCAGCCCACACCCCCTGATGATCTCTCCCAGCGGCTTCATGTAGATGTTAAAAAGCATGGGGGAGAGAATGGAACCCTGAGGCAGTCCACAAGTGAGAACCAGGGGTCTGAACACTCATCCCCCAACACCACTTTCTGGACATGGCCCAGGAGGAAGGAGCAGAACCACTGTATAACAGTGCCCCCAGCTCCCAGCTCCTTTAGATGGCCCAGAAGGATGTTATGGTCAATGGTATCAAAGGCCGCTAAGAGGAAACAGCTTTCACCTTTGTCCCTAGTCCACCGGAGATCATTGACCAGCACGACCAAGGCAGTTTCAGTCCCATGATAAGGCCTGAATCCCGATTGGAAGGGATCCAAGTGGTTCGCATCCTCCAGGCATGCTTGGAGTTGTTCAGCAACCACCTGCTCAATCACCTTGCCCAAGAATGGAAGATTTGAGACTGGGTGATAATTGGCCATATTGGTCGGGTCTAAAGATTTATTTTTTTAAGAAGCGGTTTAATAACAGCCTCTTTCAGCGGATCTGGGAAGGCACCCCGCAGAGCCCATCGCCCAGTCCTTCCCGGTCCGCTTTTATTAGCCATGATGGGCAAGGATCAAGGAGACAGGTGGTCAGTTTCACTCATCCAAGCAGCCTGTCCACATCCTTGGAGGTAACAGATTGGAATTGATTAGATAGGACTCTAACACTCTCTTTCCCCAGCCCTGCTTCCATGGTGGAGTCTACCTCTTTCCGAATCTGAGCGATTTTATCTGCAAAAAAACTGCAAAATCGTTGCAGGAGATCTTGGGGTCTTTACCAGGCCCCGATGGCAAAGGTGGTTCCGTTAAATTGTGAACCACCTAAAAGGGACTACTGCTGCTATTTTCTGCAGATGCAATACAGGCGGTGAAGAAAGTTCTCTTTGCCATCACTATTGCTACTTGGTAGGCTCAACATTGAGCTCTTACCTGTGTCTGGTCAGATTCAAAATGAGTTTTCCTTTATAATTTATTATCTAAAATGATATACCTAATCAAGGGCAGTTGCTTTTCCAATAGCTTAGGCTCATCAATAGGAGGGAAATCCTGAGTGCCAGATATTGTAGGATGCCACAGCAACTCTCATAAGTCTTAGCCAGAATAACCAATGGTCAGGGACATTGTAGTCCCACGACATCTGTAGGGCACTACATGGACCACCCCCGCCTTAGAGTCACTTTCCCCACCCAGAAATTTAACTTCTAGCAGGAGAGGTGAACCTTGAAGACTGATAATGCCAGTGGATCACACTAACTGCATTTTATCTAGACATCCTGAAAAGGCAAAAGTAGGAACAAAATGGTATGTGTGCATGTCCAGAGAGAGAATAGTAATGGAATAGAGAATAGAGATCAATGGAGCCTATGAATGTGATTTCAGTACCTTTCACCCAGAGGCGGAGCTAGCTGCTCCAGCACCCGGAGAGGTGCACATGCTGTGCACCTGGGGGGCGGAGCAAGTGTCCCAGGTAGGTGCTGCCCACAGCGAGTGTCCCGGGGGGCGGTGGCGCAGCAATGCCACTCCCCCTCAGGGATGACACCTGGGGCAAATTGCACCTACCGCATCCCCTTCCTCCGCCAGTGCTTTCACCCATGGTAGGGATTCAAGTCTTTACTGCAGTCGGCCCTCAAAGAAAAGTCCTTTAGGTAAAACGAACCTTTCGAGCTGCAGACTTATGTGTTAATCAGTGCCAAAACATTAGAAGAACTGATTAGTTTTGTTTAACACAAATCCTCTAGGGTTTGGGACGATTCGATTTTTGCAGACTTGATTTGTACACCCTTTGTTGCTTTGAAGCAATAAGGCAGAGATCTTTGAGACCCTTCATTGATCTCTCCTCTTTTCTTGTGATCGCGGTAAGAGTTTTACAAAGTGTGAGGTTCTTCACATTTTTTTTGCATGAAACGATTAGCAGGGAGCTTGGTGCTAAAACTTTAATAAAGAGAATTTCAAGTTGCATTCTAGAGTAAAGTGACATGTCAGCTTCAAAAGATCAAGTCAAAATCGTTCTGTGAGCTTCTTCTGTTGAATAAATGATGTTCAGAAGAAATGAAAAAGAGGCTGAGTTGATACAAGATGATAGTTTGAAAACACACTAATTGGTGCTGAGCATATAGTATGTAAATTGTGTATACTTTAATTTTTAAACATCATTGAGATGGTTGAAGCACTTAGAAGTTGTGGGTTGTAAATAAAATTTAAAGCAGTATCATACCACTTTAAACAGTCATGACTCCCTGCAAAGAATGCTGGGAACTGGAGTTTGTTAGTAGTGTTAAGAGTTGTTAGGAGACCCCTAATCCATTCACAGAGTTACAATTCTGAGGGGTTTAACATTCAATCCCTCTCCTGAAGGAACTTGAGGACTTGTAACTCTATGAGGGGAATGGGGTCTCCTAACAATTCTCAGTTCCCCTATAGTTCCCAGGATGCTGGAGGGGGCTGGGGAATTATGACCATATAATGTTGCTTTAAATGAGTAGTGCAGATGGGGCCAAGGAGTCAAATCTCTCGCTGCTGCAGAGGGAGAGATGAGACAGTGTGGCCTTCTCCATCAGCTTGGCTAGAATCCTCTCCTCTCCAAGAACCTTTGTCATCAGTATCCATTCCACCTGGCTGCCAGAGAGACAGAGAGAGAGAGGCTGGATCTAGACACAGCAAAGAAGCATTTCAGGAAAATGTGTTGTAAACTTTGTATGAGAAATTGTGTTGGTAAAAATGGAACTCCACAGTGCCATCTGGTATCACAATGTTATAATGCATATACAATGCATATAAAACACTTTTTCTTTACCCATCTAGCTGAATCCAGAGAAAGAGAGAGAGAGAGAAGGAAATTAGACAGTGAACACCCCCCCCCCATTGAATGGACCAATATCTCATTTGACCACATGCAGGTCCAACTACAAAAAAATCAGTTATCCCAACATAGAGAATGATGCCCAAACCTTGCTATGCACACCACAGATTCAAATATTGCAGCAGCTGGAATATGCCTATTTCCTCACTGCATTACTTGTTTGTGCTCTGATGGTTGGTGGCAGCCCTTTTCAGGCAGAGACCATGATGAAACATAGAGGACAAATCAAAGAGCAGGAGACATCAGACAAATCAGTTTTTCCTTTGTCTCTCTTTTGGTGGTTGTCTGCAGCCATTCCAGAAATGAACAATGGGGGGTATGGAAGGTGGGGAGATCAGACAAATTACAGATTATAAATGTTCCCATTGGAATAAGTGGAAATTTTGGACTCGTTATGCAAATGCTTGTCTAATGAACAATT